TGCTGGGGACCGAACCGCGGTCTCTGCTTTTAAAGCTTAGCTTAGCTTGTTCCAAGGAGGTGCTTTAGACCACTGAGCCATCTCACCAGCCCCTAGAAAGAAATTGTTAAAAAAAAAAAAAAAACCCAAAAAGGTATTTAGCATTTAAGAAGTAGAAGGATTGGCTGGGGATGTAATCAGCGTAGTGCCTGCCTGGCAAGCACAAGGTCTTGAGTTCGATTCCCAGTACTAAAATCAAGAAGGGTTGAAGTGTATTTGGCACAGTGAGTGTGGATTGCTGGTGGGATTAGTCCCGTCTGTCCTAGCTGGTGAGTGACGGGGAGCCTGAGGCTGAACCCTGCCTGAGTTGCCCACGTGGATTCAGCGTTTCACAGACAGCTGAGGACCGCTGTGTGGAGCGAGGAGGTCTCCGCCGCCTCAGCGCAGGCCAGCGCCGAGAGCCCGCCTGAGCGGGGTTGCGCGCTAGGTCCCGGCGCTGGGATGATGCGTTAGGATACTGACCAGGTCGCCTTGGCTTTCAGGAATGAAGACGAGAAGGAAGAAGAAAGTAGTGAAGAGGAAGAAGAAGAGAAACATCGTCTCAGTGATGAGTTATTAGGAAAAGTTGTGAGCGTGGTTTCCACAGCCGAAAGGACTGAGTGGTACCCCGCGTTGGTGAGTGCGGCTTCTCTGCATCGCCCCTCAACCGCGAGATGTTTATTAGTGAAAGGGATCTCCAGAAACGTCTAAACAAGGAAATACAGTTTTAATATGAACACTGCAGATTTTATGGGGTCAGATCTACAGGACTGTGTAATTTGCTGTTGTCACCTCGGGTGCCTCAGTCCTTGGCCTCGTTGGCTCTCCCTTCACAAGGTGTCTGCAGCCCCGTCACTCTGTCCCGTTGCCGTGTCACACTTTTACGTTAGCTTAGCTTGTTGGATCGTTTCTTTACTAAATGCAGACCATGTTGCTAGAGCTAAGTTGTCAAGGGCAGGCCTTTGGAGTGCTGACTTAATTACGGTAGTCCCTTCTCGGACTTTCCCTTCCTTGGGCGCAGTGACAGACACCCTCGCCCCTGGAGGCAGGCAGGAGGAGTGCTGAGCCCAGGAGCTGGAGACCAGCTTGGGATGAAGAGGGAGTAAAATA